CTTAGCCCTGCTGTGGCTGGTTATTCTAGTTAATTTACATAAAGCAATAACCGTTGACCTTAAAATCTTTGAAAAAAGTTGCACTAAAACTTCTACCTCATTCACGAATATGTGCGTTCTTACCAATGTGCGTATGTTAGTGACTCTGAATATTTTTAACTGACAGGCGCATGCCCACTAGTTGCAGTCAGCCTACAATTTCTCTGCACTAGAAATAATTTTGCTGAGAGGTGGATCATGAAAAAAGCGATGAAGTTGTTTCTACATATTAGTGAATGTCTTGGCAGTCGTTAACAGCTTTGAAAACATTCGGCACCCTCTTTAAACACATTATGTCGGTCTCTGAAGATGCTCTCTCTCGTGAAGGCATGGGCTGCAATATCTTCTGGCAACACTAGATATCTTAAAAGGTACAGTGAGTAGGATTTAGGGGGATATATTGGCAGAAATGAAATATAATAAGGATGTTTTCTTTAGTGTATAATCACCTGAAAACAAGAATTGTCCTCATTTATGGAGATTACCATGTTGCACCACCATGTTTCTACAGTCGTCCAGAACAGACAAAGCAAACACTGGCTCTAGATAGGGCCATTTGCATTTTTGTGTCGGCCACCATAGTTAGTCACCCCTTTGTGAAGAACAGTGTCAGAAAAGCAGATTTTGATTTTTATTTTTTATTTTTTTTACATGAAACTGCTTTATTCGTGATGAAACTGAAACTGCTTGTTTCAGAGAGGAAGAGACTTCTGCGGGTAATTCAGCTTCCAGTAAAAACCTCCTGAACGTCTAGATCTTAAGTTATGTGAGAAAAAAGGTGTGCACACATTAGCAAGGGCTGGGCTAGCGGCCTGTCTCTGACAAGCATTGAAGAAACACTGATTTGTAATGTGAAACTGCTTTCTTCAATGTTTTAACCAGTTTAAATCATTTGGTCTGTCTGTCTGAGACCTCTGTGGATAATTCAGCTCCTGGTAAAAACTTCCTTAACAATGAACACTACATGAAATCCAACCAGGAGAAGTTTCAGCTGGTTGTAACCACAGACTGTACAAAAAAAGATGGAAAAAGTCAAAGTACACATCCAATTAATCTATCTCAAAGTTGGTTTCTGTCATTTTAGGTAGTTCTTATCATGCTGATATATGTTCAAGTGTTTGTTTTTCTGATAAGTTTGGTTTTAATGAGTTATCTGACACTATAAAAATGAGATCTGACGTTATGATTGCTAGCTGTGTCTACCAATTGTTGTGCTGTGCAATAAATAGCATTGCTCACAATTGCTTGGATGGTTGTTTGGGCGGGAACTCAACACCACGGAAATCTCTACTGTGCAGACTCTGGCTCCAAATGATGTCACCAGTGCAAGTCAGCAGCGGCCTATCTGGGATATTTTGGCTTTATTTTTGTACAATGGGGGTAAGTGGAGACGCGTTGTCCATCGTTATACAGTCTGTAGTTGCAATCTACAATCCTCACTGCTAAATCCCCCTAAATCTTACACACTGTTCCTTTAACACCTGCTTGGAGGTAAATCAGGATCTTTTATATACCCTTTTATACACATGATTTCATGGCACTGGAGATCAGTGGGAGTAGGCGAACATTATAAATCAAATAAATTAAAACAATATAAATCAAAATTGTTTCATTTCAAAATGAGTATTCTTATATTCTCCATTGTGAGCCAGAACTGTGACACTCAGATTTTACAATTGAATATTTAAATTATGATAATAATTGATGAGGATGAAAAGGCATCAGTTTCATTGTTATTTAATGCATTGGTCAATGAACAGTTTTAAATATTGTTGTCTACTGAAGCCTTTTTTTTATTAATTCGGTTTTAATGTGCTATGCGTTTAATTAAAAGCTATGCGTTTACATTATTTAAGACAGCCAGGTCTTCATCATCTGTGTGTCTGCGTGGTATGAGGCAATTCTAGTACAAACAAATTCAGGTAAGAAAATATTGATGAATCCCAGATGGGTGCGTAAAATGTTCGTACCCACGGTTCAAGCACAGATGTATGTGTACGCATTGTTTGTGAATGACGCCCAATGTGACTCAAAGAGGCTTATCAGAACACACACAGGTACTTGACCAGCTCTTCAATTACATCAGAAGCATCTTAACTTTGGTAATGACGGACTGACATCAGAGGTCAGTGTTGTTAGAGGAGATAAAAAAAAAATCCTGGCTGACATCGCAGACCAGACACCATCTCCAACTACAGAACAGCCATTATGGAGCAGCAGGACATCATTTCCCCCTGCAAAATCCACTTTCTCCTCGCAAATACAATTACAGGAAGTCACTAAGGGCAACAACATTACATCTCTTGGAGTGAGGGGGGTTGCACAAAGTGATTATTATTTGGCTAAAAAGGTCAATTATCATAGAAGAAATATCAGATAACAGTTTCTGAAAATGGCCTATTTTGTTTTCGAACATCTGTGTCTATCAAAACAAGCCAGCTTCATATAAAGGCAATGCAGTGATCACACAATATGATACTAAATACAGTGCTGGAAGCATTTTTAAAACCAACAAGCAGAGAATTATCACCTAAAATAATGTTTGTTACAACTCTTTGTAAGAGTGTACATCAAATGCTGCTACAATATATTGTATGAGCAGTTTAACCACATCTTTCTTTTAAACAGCACTTTCTGTCTTAAACGCATCCCTTAAATTGCTCCATTTTGTTTGTCTTTTTCACTTCTAATACTATTAAAATGGGTTGATAGGCCTGAAGACATGGTCAAAATAATAAACTGTAGTTATATCCCTTTACTGAATTAATCCTGAGAGCAATACATCTCCTTAGCTTTTGAAATCCAAATCTATACAAGTGATTGCAGACGCCAAAACACATCATGCTCTTTCATAAAAATACCATTCAACAAAATACAGGGAACATTTAGATGGCTTAACTGTGCCTTTGAAATGAAATATTTATTATATGTTTGACCTTAGTAGTAAGTCAGTGGGGAGCTGTTATAGTTGGGTCTGTGTGCTCTGTACAATGGTGCCCTCCCTTGGAGGATTTATAATATCACATGTCCCTTTTTATTGGCAACGTTGAGCCTCTTTAGACTACTCTGAAGATAAAGCAAGTCTGTCTGATGATCAACTGAGACACATAGTGAAGGACGGAAGTGTTGCTATCCTCATCGCAATCTCCTCTTCCTCCTCCCTCACAGTGAATTTCCTAATTGGTTGTCATTAGCAGATCCTGCTTTAGTTCAGAAGATGATGAACTTGTGGTTCACTGGCTGTAGTAATAACTTTCTTTGGACAGTGTGATTAAGTCCCTGCTATAAAACCCAGTTGTCAACGACAAAATGAATCCAGCAGCACACAGACAGGAAGCCCTCAGTATCATACAATAAGATATGATTTATAATCCTGCTTGCTGTACAGAACTGTATTTCAAAGGAAATAATAGCTCATTTGTTCAGCAATAATTGTTCTTAAAGCAACAGGTGAGCAAACATTAAGTGCCTAGATTTTACAGTCCACTTCATTTCTCTGAAAACTCTAACTAATCCCGCCACCCACAGAACAACCAGTAGTTTTATGTAGACTTGATATTTGCCTCTGTATACAGGCAATTTAACAAAGGGTTTACAAATTGTCCAGATAATTGATGTTTGCTTGTCTCCGTGTGCTATTCTTCAAGCTGTCACTGACATAATATGCACACGGAAAGCACAGAAACCTCCCGGCTTTTAATAGCACCCCTCACCTGCCATGTTCAGCCAGCATTGCACCTTCATCCTTCAGCCTCTTGCTCTTGGTTTCACAGTCCTCCAGCAGGATCTCCCGCCGTCGTTTGATCGCGTGCAGCCAGTCCACGTCCTCATCCTTACTCCGTCCAGCACCTTCAGCCTTCCCCTCTGCCTCAGCCTCAAACTGCTGCACCACCGACTTTGAAACCTTCTCACCAACTTTCCTCTTCCAGCCAAATGAAGCCATCCTGTAGGGAAAATGAAGTGGGGTAGGTGGTGGAGGCGTTTACTGACTATACGCCCAGATATCCTATCTCACCTGAAATCAGTATGTTATCAGTGCTGGAAAATCCACGAAGACTTTTATTTTGAAGTATCAGAAAACAGGCTAACGTTATATTTTAGCATAATGTTACTATCAGATACTAATGAAGCTTAACGTTACCTGCTACAATAAACCGTATATTCTATTTAAGACAATGCGAATAGCTAGTTGTCCAGTAACTAGTTACAAAAGTAAGACGAGGTAGTAAACAAAATCAACCCTGTCAAAACAACGCTAGCTATCGTTAGCTACAACAACATAGCTAACAGTTGTCCAAACTCTTGACACCTCAGTACGTTTGCTCACACCAGTTGCACTTCAAGTATTACTTCTTACATAACATATTACATTTGTATATGGTAATTTAAGACAGAACAATGTGCTCAGGAGGTATACGCACAGACTTCTACAGCTTTCCGTGGTTTAAACTCGACAAGCTAAAAGAAGCTAACGGCTAGCCATGGTGACCCGGAAGTTGTGTGAATGTTTACATCGTCTCTTAAAGAAACACGACCCGTTTTCTCGAAGTTGAGACGCTAACTAGCATGTTAACGGCCATATCTTTCCCTTGGTATTTACCAGGAAATGTCGTTGCTGAAATGCAATTTTGCCCACTGGATGGCACCACATAAATCTTTACATGGCACAGATTTAATCCAAAATGATCATTGCTTTCCCCTCACACTAATGCACAGACTGTTCTGAAATGACCCAAATAGCTAAATAAGTTAGTGTGATTTCAGAAAAATAATCATCAGGACTTAAACTTCCTTTTGGGTGCAAAAACCTTTCTCCTTTAAATTGGACATTCCTTGTTTTCAGTTTCCTTAGCTGCCTTTACTGCATGACTGTGGTCTTAAATTACTATAAAGTCAATGTGATGTGATTTTTCCATGACGCTGTCAAAAGACTAGAAACATGCAGAGAAACTGGAGCAGAATTGTGTGCAATTTAGCAGTTTATTAGGCAGTTGTGTATACAAATGATTTCAACACTGTCCATTCAGATTTACACTGGTCAATCTGGTAGGGTCCCTTTACACACCAAACAAAAATAGAACAATATTTCTTTGAAGCAGTCCAAACAGATAGACTGACAGCATTAATCTGCTAACAGTCCACTGGGATGCTACTCCATAAACTGTCAAAAAGGTCACGGTTTCACACATTCATCTTTCCTACAAAACCCATGAAAAGTTTTGTAATCAAAACTTGCAACTGCCCTATAAAACTAAAAATGTTTAGTTCCACAATATCATTCCAAGACCATGGTGTGTTTCATTACCATGATCACTATATTTCATAAACTCTAGTTTAAAACTGAGACATAAAAGGTCAAATATCAACTAAATATTTCAGTCCAAACCTGTCCCGCAGGACAGCAAGAGAAACAAAATAATCACAATTATTGTCACTCTTGGCAATTTTTTTGTGTGTTATATCTCTGAAATGTAAAATTGTTTATACAAATGAGATATTTCAGATTTTTAAAGCTGTGAAGAGCGAAACACTGGAAACAGAGACTTGAGCAATTGCTAACACCTCTTAACACAAATGAAACTTTTTTTTTTTTTTGTCGGACATTACAATGAGAACATGCAAAGTTCTTGAAAACCTGGATTAACTGACATAAGACAGAAATGACAATGATGAATAAGAAACCAGTTTACCATTCAAGTTTGCTTTTTTCCCTACTGACATAATTAAAAGGTGGTAGCAGTTACCGAGGTCCACAGTAGTTTGGCAACAGTCAGACATTTATTTTATGTTTTGTAGTTAAGAGTTTTCTTTTTTTTTTGGAATGCAAACACCTAAAATAATGTCTATCATTTTTTAACTAACAGTAATTGTGAATCAACAGCACTGGCAAAATAATTTGAGGACTTTAACTCCTAAAATTGCAAAAAGGTACCAATAATTCTGACCAGCGCCGAATTCCAATGTTTACTGACATAAAACCAATAAACTGTACTGATAATGATAAGGCAGCCAAACAACAGACACCACTTAAAATTTTAAGACTGTGGAGAGGAAATGGAGGGAGACGCATCATACTTGTGGTTAAAGACATATCTAAGACTTTGTGAGCTTGCAAGTATACAATATAGTCTGACTTTTTAAAAAAAAATCAAATACATCACCCATACATTTATGATCTTAATGCTTGTGCGATGTCTCTTCTACAGAATTGTGATCTACCCAGCAGGACATAACAATTCCATTCTCATAAGTTTGTTTCAGGTTTAAACTTTTTTCTAAGTCAACCTTAAAGGGAATGTCTGGGCAATAAAAACAAAGAAAATCTAAAAATGACAATATTCTGGATGTATTCACCTGCCAATAGTCATTGTCCATGCACTGCATGTAATTGCTACCACTATTCATTTTCAAATTTGGCCCTGAGGCCTATACACTTGTGATGGATTGGCATTTATAAATTGGATGTAGGCAAAGGCATTTCACTCAGTAATCATAATCAAATCCTAATCATTAGTCTAAATAAAAACAAATAGAGAAAAGTACAACAAAAACGTCAAAATCAACTTGTCATTTTAATATGTGACACTGAAAATGATATATTTCTAGATTTTGACCGTCATGGCAAAATACCTCTTAAATGGTAAAAGCAGGCTATATTTATCTGGAAAGACAATCAAGTATCAGAATAAGTGATTGAAGGAAACAAAGCTGTGATATTGATTTAAAAACCAGAAAGTAAAAAAAGAAAAATACATACCATCCAGCACTAGATCTTGATGCAATAAAGAAAAAACAATTTCCATTTCCAATAGAACCAACACTCCGTCCACTGATAAATATATTCACGTCTTTATATATAAAAATGTAGGGGACAGACAAAGTCAAACAAATTTTTACAACAAGGACAAAACCATGAAAATTTAGTCTCTGACAACTCAGATTCACAAAAAAAAAAAAAAAAAAAGGAAACCAAACATAAATCTGATGAAGCATTTGTTTGTCCCTGACACAAGACAGAAATACAGGGGTCATTGCACTTCTTCAGAGTCCAATGAATGTGACGGGTATGACAACCCTTGTTATAGCCAGTGCAGTGCCCCGACACATCTGCACCACTTCTCTAATCCCCACGTAGAGAACAAGAGCAGCAGGAAATAAAAGAAACTTGTGCAAAAGTGCTTCCTGCATCCTTTATGACTGCCACCCAAACACCCAACCCTCAACATGTGGTGTCCTTCTCTGCAGGCAAAAACTTGATCTTGGTCTCTGTACTGGAAAGCAGTGCTCACTGGCTACAGTACAGAATATTCAGTGTAATCACTTGCGCATATATGTATCGGTGGGATGTGGACATTTGCTATTAAATTGATCGGGAAATAGTAAAACCCCCTCCTAAATGTTGTTCTGTCATAGCCATTAAGTAGCTCGTCTTTCATCTTTCCATATAACCTCTTACATTCCCTGCCAGCTCAGTATACATCCCTTCTGCTTTGGGAACACTAACCTGCATCAGTGCCATGGAACAATCACTTCATCCTCAGCCGGGATGAACTGAGCCATGAATCGGTTGCATGCTTATTGCTATAAAGACACTCGGAGAGGAAAAAAAAGGCTAGCGATTGTTTTGCAAGCTATCGTGCAAGTAGTTTAATAAGATTTGCGCACATCTCAAAGAACTCGATGGTGTGGCTTCCTGGTCGAGGGACAGTCATCGAATCCCCCCCTCCGGTGGAGTCGATGGATGAGGTCAACGATGAAGCTAAGGAGCCTTCTGCGGTCTTTGTGGGCTGCACAGTGCTAGATGAAGCCGCGGCATCTGCCCCATCCACATCGTTCTTAATAGTGGTGCGGTAGTTGCCCACAGACCCAGATCGGAGAGGTGTAGCAGTTCCAGATTTTGTCTCCACCATATCATCTGAAGAACAAAAGACACAAAATGTTTTCCACAAAATACACATACAAATATGTTATTTCTTTTCTTTTTCTTCTTTCGTTTATACATCTAAAAGCTTGGGCATTCAGCTTTTAATTTCTATATCAGATCCAATCAGAATTCCATTCCTTAAAGCCATCGGTTACACTGCAGCTAAATTTGGGATGTCAACAGTTAACTGTTAATAGGATAACCGCAGAGAATAGTTTTGACTTGTTACACGTAGGTCCAAAGGTTAATTTGGCTACTCCTCAGTTTACTGTGTAGTGCACCACCTTGGTTGGGCGGGAGCAAGCTAACAACACAGCTCATTTGGCAATTACTGCTGGTAACACCATCCTGACTCATGGTAGTGGTACAGTGTTGTGGCGGGAACACTGACATTGTGCCCACCCTCCGGGCAAGGTTATACAGTACATGAAGGCTGGGACAAGGTCTTTGTATGACGTGCAATTTAACTGGAGCTGTAATGTTAGAGGGTTACAGCAGAGAGTGCTGGAAATAAAGAGATGGTGTCTGCTCAGGTGCTTTTTGGTTCTGCTCTTTTTAGCCTCCTTGAGTGCGCGCATCCTGACAGAACTTTTATGTACGCTTAAGTGGATGGGGGCCAATATGCAACATAATGTTTGCATATAGAAAGCATTTGTTTGTGGTATTTTATAACAGACTTTTTCAATAATGTCAGAATTCTCACCTATATCTTTATTTTTTGTCCAGAAATATTCTGACCCAAGGCTGACTGAAACTAATCAATCATGTTGTATGATAGAGCGCCAGCTATTGAGCCTTACAGCAACTGCAGACCAGATTTTACTGCACAAGTGTTGTACCCCATTGATATGACATGACATGAGGCCATGACTTCTCTTTTTAACTTTGTTGTGCTAAAGGGGTTTTGTGGCTCATAATGAAGCCGCCTACCACAGCTAAAACAAAAAAATTTCACTAGCAACGCCACCCTGTAACTACTTGTCAGGACAGTGTTACCAGTGGTAATCGCTGAATGACCCGTGCCGCTAGCTAGCTCCCATCCAACCTGAGTGATGTGCAGTGCAGAGTGGCTAAGGCTAGCTAAACAGTGGAGACCAGAGGTTGGGCAGTGGGCACCACATTTCTGCATGTTAACACAGCTGGCCGCCTGTCTGTCAGCAAGCCAATAGAATTTAGAGAATTAAAATTTTAAAGCCCTGAGTAGATAGTTCTTTGAAATGCAGCGCTAAAGCTCACAGAGCCAATGGAACGACAGACTGACGAGTAAGGCCTCTTAAATTTCATGTCATTTTGCCTAAAAATGAACCTGTAAGTTATCAGTATCAAAAACAAAATGAAACAAACTGACATCCCTGAGCTACACATAAACACAGTGGCTGACTTTGCTGTAGCACACAGCCAAACTGTAGTCTCGTGCCCTTTACACAGCATGCCTGTGCTACGTTAATTCAGCTCATAATAACACTTATCTCATATTTGTCTTTGAGGTACCGCTGCCTGTGGACACACAAAAAAGAGCCCAAGCCCTTAACCCTGAGTCAATCATTTATGAAGTCTGCACTGACAGAGCACACTACGGGACAGAAGCCAGGAAAACACCATGAGGATAGAGGGAGCTGAATTCAGGGCTCAGCAGAATATCTTGTCATTGTTCACAGGTTATAAACTCTACAAAACTGTAAATGGTATGAGACTAGTTTAAATGGCACAACTTATATTAGAGAACAACACAAATATAGTTTTTTAACTGTCTTTTAAATGTTTGGTTTATTAAACAGTTTAACCAATGACCAACTTTTTCACAGTAAAGCTTTGATTATTTTTGGAAATATGCAACATAATAATAACCATTTTTCTATTTTTCACTCACATCTTAGTAAAGATGTGAGAACAGTGTGGTTCAAACTTACCGTCTATGCTACGGAAGTCGAGGAGGTAGGTTCTACTGTCCACTTGGTAAAGTTGAAGGCTCATCTTGGTTTGCATCCCAGTTATCGGATTCTTCCTTCTCACACGTAGATAATATGGATTCACAACCTGGAAGAGTTATGAAACAATGACAATATGAAGCTACCTCTTTAAAGGAACTCCAATATCACAAGTTGTTATTTAGTTAAATAACATAATCTCAACTTTAGTTACTGTTTTAATATGTGGCCCCATTTTGTTTCACTGCTTTTCTTCCTTACCTTCCACTCATAATCCAGCTGTTTCATGGCACGGCACACTTCTGACATGATATCATTGGGTCTACTCTGACTTCGGATACCCAGGTGCCACTTGGCCCTTCTAACACCCTGGTGTTTGGACTTCTGGGGGTTCAATTCATCCAGTGTGTGGCGAGGCCTGGGAGGAGTCTCCGCCAACAGGAATGGTACGCGCTCGGGGTGAGGCTTGATAATGCCGGCCACAGCTGCACCGGATGAGGTCAAGTGCTGGTCATCTAGAAAAGAGTCGGGAGGGCTGGACGCCAGGTAGAAATCCTTTGCTTCGCTCATGATGCGACGATTGTCAATGATGAGATGGTAGGCGACGGCCAATGGGTCCTGATGGTTACGACTGTATATGCAGGCCAGGACTTCCTCCTCTGTGCACTCAAACTTGTCACATACCTCCTTCAGGGCCTCATCGTCAATCATGTTGTTGCTGTAGGAGGGGTCCTCGGGGAACAAATATTTGGGTAGGCCCTGTTTGAACCACTCATCCTCTCTGTGGAAGGAGAAATTATTTTTGTTGTATAACAAACCACTCACATTGTCCGTAAGACTAGTTTTACATTTTTCTGTTTCTTCAATCTGCTCTGTAATCTACACAAAAAAGGCGAGATGGTTCTAATATTAGTCTGACTTTGTAATTAATTCCATCAGGCTTACCGGATCTCTTTGATGGTGGCTCTTTTCATGGGGTCCACCTGCAGCATGTGTTTAAGGAGGCTTATTACTGATGGGTTCAGATACTGCGGGGTGAAAAAGATCCCGTCGCAGATCTTCTTAAACAGCGTTGGCACGTGGTCGTCATCAAAAGGAAGTGTTCCGCATAACAAGGCATAGAGAATGACCCCGCTGCTCCAGATATCTACCTCTGGACCAGCATATAACCTGAGGACAGGTAAAAATAAACACTTCTGTAATCATGACAGCAACATTTTACTAGGTTATGTTTATTCAGCAACATCTTGTAGCAACATAATGGGAGTATGCTAGGTACAGTTCACACCCAAATCGGTAGTTCTATCTATCTATCTATCTATCGATCTATCGATCTATCGATCTATGTTTTTTTGCCCTTTCACGAGAACGAAGCTCTTGACCACATACAAGTTTCCTTCTGGGGGTGTAATTCAGTAGAAAGAAAATGGCACACCAAAACAATCTAGACTGATAAATAACACAACAGGTAAGAGGAAAAACATGTATTTTTGATTTGGGAGCGAACTGTCACTCTAAGTTCTGTGTCATTGTCAGCTTACCTTCCTGAGATGACCTCAGGAGCAGCATAGTTTGGAGAACCACAGCTTGTTCGCAGGAACTCTCCATCTGACATCATGTTTGATAAACCTGCACAGAAATTAACACCATTATAATAAGATCAGCCCCAATAACGATCTGGCATATTTGATTGGTGCATCTCTACATATAATACAAAAAAGTAGGGAGTGCCCACTCATAAGAAAAAAAATTGCTTCATAGCCCTGTTAGTAGTCACAAAACTCCACATGGTTACCTAGCAAAGTCCTGCACTACTGGGTCCATAATTTTAAGGTTAAAATAATGTCACTTGTAAACACTCCTGAGTTAAGGTCAGAGACGCTCTTACCGAAGTCTGCAATCTTGGCATTCATGTGTGCATCAAGCAGCACATTTTCAGGCTTGAGGTCTCGGTGCACCACCATGTGTCTGTGGCAGTAGTCGACTGCAGAAATAATCTGCTGGAACAGCCGACGACTCTCCTTTTCTTCCAACTGTCAAAGCAGAAATTATCCATTAGGTGTCATCTTTTCTGTGACTCAGTTAGCACATCACAGCTGACTAAGCAGCACTTCATGGTGTGTTTTGATATCTTTTCCAGCCGCTGTCACTTTTTGGTTCACAGGTTGCTGCGCTGTATCTGCACCAAAGGCTGGCAGTAACACTGAGAAGTACATAATGCACTTCTGTGTTCTGTCCACTCACTGATAATAAAATATACAACATCTGCTCCATATGGTGAGATGGAAAGAGTGGAGGAAAATGTGAGACATAATTATAACAGGTTAGAAGTCATTTTCCAGTATCACGGTGTATTACCTTTCCATTTTTGCAGATGTAGTCAAATAGCTCGCCTCCTGAGACATACTCCATCACCATGAAGATATCTGTAGGGGTGCTAATAACCTGATACCTGCAGACAACACAAAGTTAAAATCACGAGCGTCAGATATAACACCACTCAAATGGAGACACTTCTGGGTTATTATCTCATCATTTTCACAAATAAAAAACAGGATGCATGCTATTAAATCTCTATGATTTGCTATCCCACTGTGGAATATCATAGAAACACCAAAAGTGGCCAGAGGAAATGGCTCTGTGTTCTTCATGTCTTACAAAAACAAGCACAAAACCTATCTTGGCCTGTTGATGTGGGTGTGGCTCCTTTTTCAGTCAAATGACAGAGCAACAATGTGACTAAAACATTACATCTTGATATTTTATGCCTTAATGTTAAAGGTGCCACGTGACATTCTTCACAAACCTTTGTTTCAACACCATTATGCTTAGTTTGTGAGACTAGTTTTCAAACAATAAAGACTTAATGCTTCCAAGCATCAAAAGCATATTGTTAACTACAAATACCACAGTGAAATACCTTTATCTATGCTACGGCACATATGTAGTTTGATCTATGTTGTGTGCAGACACAGTATGAAGTGCAGCATCAATACTTAGAAGTACTGTAGATAGCTAATATTGCAACAGCGTTGGTGTAAACTTCATTGAGCAACTTAAGAATGTGTTATTGGTTACCGCCTGTCCTTTCAGTCCAAGGATTAGTGAGAAATTCTTGTGCCTCAGAATCCACACTGACACCCATCATACCTACCTCTATTTACACTATACTGGCTGTGTGGTTACACTTGAGCATGAGCCAGATTTTTCCCTGTGATAATCATATTCAATATCAAGCAGCAGAATCAGCTAACAGCACAACTGAAATTTCTTACAACGGCACAGAAACCACAATGTAACCCCTGCAGTTCTGAATCCGTGCGTGCAGCGTACTAATGACAATGTGACAGTGTTCAGATATGACTGTAAAACGCTGTCTCGTCATTAATCCACTATCACAAAATTGCCATGTCTGTCCAAATGTAAATGCAGTACTAACTGTGTTACAGTCTACAGAAACAAATGAGTCTAAATTTAAAATGAGCAGAGTTTCAACAGACGAGACGGATGTTGACTAACTTCTCGTCTCATTGTCACAATTAACATCCTGTTTACCAAATAGAGCTGTTCTGTGTTTTATTGCTCCACTGTCCTCACTCGACACTATTCAGACTAGACAGGCAAAACTGTGCACTTTGCCCCAGTGTTTGTGTGCCCTGTCAAAGATGGGATCTCTCGCTCACAAACACACACACACACACACACACATAAAGACAAAGACTCACACTGAGTTTACATTCTTGTGCATGCATGACATGGAGCTGGTATTCAGGAAATTAGCCACACCTCATGGTCACTTTAATGACCCAGTAACTCTGGCCTTGGGCTCAAGCTGCTTGCTGTGGACATTCACATACCAGGTAGGAAGGAACCACAGCAATTTTCTAAATATATTTTTAGATCAGTGACTCTTGTAGCAACAGTGTGCCCCAAATGCATTTTTCTGTTGCCAATGGACTGTTTACATCAGGCTTGCAGTGGTTATCATCACTGCTTGACGTACATGTGCATTAGAGCACAAACAGTGTACTGAGCTGGTCTCTGATTAGCATCACAGTAAGTTAAGACATGTGAACTTAAACAATGACCCACTCAAAATCGCATGTATCCATCTGCACCAACACATGCAGATATTACCAGCAGTCAGTGCCATAAACTCAAGCAGGACAGATAGTATGTTTGCTTTGGCACATGCACAAATTTGGATTTGGAGTGACAGCTCTTTCCTGCTGTATAACAACTGCACAACACAGACCCGTGGGCTCTGTGAAGACACAGTGAATACACTTTTAGTGAACGCTAAACTGAAAGACAGGAGATCACACAGCGCGGCACGATGAAAGGCGGTGATAAAGCACTTTTTCATATTAAAATGAAAGGTCAATGGAGCGGATAACCAAAACAGGCAATAAAGCAGACTGAGACTGAGCCGAGGACTGCGGGGAGAGGGAGACTAGGTCAGACAGATATCGTCCCACATGGATGTATTCTAAAACACACCATTAAAGCCTGGAAATAGCTCAGTGGGTGGCATTAATGTGGCGGCAGGGGGATTACCGAGCAGTGAGCAGGGTGTAATCTAGGACTTACAGTTTAATTATGTGAGGATGCCTAAAAAGCTTGAGGTTCTGGATCTCCCTTCGGATCTTTCCCACCACGTCCAAACTGCGGATCTTCTGCCTGTTCAAGATTTTCACCGCCACTTGGTGCTTGGTCAGCTCATGTTGGCCCACTGCAAGTCAAAAACAAAATGAGCTACCTAAGTTGTACTAAGGACATATAAAAGATGAAAGACATCACAATTACTAGAGAACATATAGAATAATGCAAAATTACTGTATCTTTAAAATGTTTACTTTTCAAGAACGAAGAAAATCACTCATAATGTAACTGATTTTTTGCCCACTTGGGGGCAGCTGACCTAAGCTGTAAACAAACACTGACATTACCACCTATTAAAGCTAATATGGCAAACATGTTAGCAAACAGTTGCGTAGTTACACATCCAGTAGACACAGAGCAACATGAGCATTTCTTTAAAATCGCGTGTCTGTCCACCTAATGAATGTACATCTTTCATTCACCTTTCCTTTAACTCCAGTCTGGTCCCACCTAACTCCTGGGAACTCCTGTTAAGCTACTAAAAGCTCCGCTTTGTTCACCAGCTGGTCACTAACTTTGTCCATTTGCCTTTTAGTGCTGGGCAGGTAGTGTACAGTGGGTTTATTAAAGCATTTTGCTGGAAACAGCTACTTGTCGCATCTGGAAATGATGCTAAGAGAACCAGACAGTGAACCAAAACAGTAAAGTTGCGGGCCAAAAAAACAAAACACTGAGCTAAAAGAAATTAAAATGCTCTGCAGAAATGAGGGAAACTGCAGAGTAAAGTGATGTTTCTCGGTGGGTTAATTACAACAAGCAGCCCCATTCACATAAAAGTAGTCATTTGATCTGTTGTTAATATATTAATATTCATTACAGTAGCTTTAAGTGTATCAAATGCCATTAAGTGTTGTTAAAAGTTAAAAGCTAAAAGCACATCTATAAACACCACAATGTTTCTACTTCTGTAACCACGACACTCAAAACTTCAAGCCGAGAACATTCCAAGCAACTAGCTCTTATCTAGAAGACGGGTTTAGTCAGTGGCTTTTGAAGGGTGCTCCCACCCAAATGGAGAGATTTATCAAAACCCAAATGTGTAATCCTTTATTTTAACTGAAAATAACTGATGCTGCAAAGATTTCACATTTCAGCAGGGATATGCCACAGCAGCAGGCAGGAGAAACATACCAAACACGAATATGAAACATACCAGAACAGATTACCATACAGAGAAAAATAACTACAACATCTGAATGGATGGTGGGAATGCAGCATACTTACACTAGTGAATTAGTAAACAGCTGCTGTTGATTTACCAGTTATGCTGGCGGTGAACTATTAACCAAGTCTCCAGTAATCAAGACCATAATCACAGAGCAAAAACCCTGGTGACCTGTGGTCTTTTTTTCTGGCAAGGACAACAAAGAACTGAGTGCAAAGAGATGACTCACTGGGAATTAACTGACTGTAAACAGAGCTTGTGGTTCTTCTGACTGTTTTTCTTACAGAGAGCCTGGTTGGTTCACTTCATTTGGGTACATTAGAGCTTAATCATGTGTTCATGAGACACAATGCACTACATGATCAAACAGAGAGCAGCCTGTAGTAGAGATTTCAGCCGTCTAACTATCACATCAGTCGATTATAGGGGCTAATCAGAAAATAAAGTGTGGCTAAATACATACAGACATTTTAGGTGTTGATACAAGCCGAGTTGTGTATTGACATAATAATCGTACCACCTTCTAGGCTGACAACACTGGGCGTAGATTTGGCCGGGTTTGCATCTAAAAAGCATTACTGTCTCTTCAACAGGACGGCAAATCCAAGTCATATGGAGGGCAGAGTTGAGACCAAATGTAGTATGGAGCTGCAGAACTTTCTTGTGCCATGTTTTAAAAACCACGAAGCGGAAACGACAGGAATCACGTTAACAAAATGCTTTCCATGAATATGCATCCAGCTAGCGCTAACACCAATCCACAGGGTTTACTTCCCGGTGTGTGTCTTGACAAGCGACTTGTGGCTCTCCGGCTAGCTCACAACGCTACCGCTGCTAACTAAGTGACTTATGTGTGGCTATGTGCTAATACCATAAAACTTGCATTGTGTGACTGTCGCTGGCAGCCACAGCTACGTCCCACTAAAACGTCATGTTTGTCACAAACAAGTTGAGCTAACTAGCAGGACAACAAGCGTGCTACATCGCTCGCGTTGCGACAAGTTAGCTTTCATAGCATGCTAAAGCTAGCAGCTAAGCTAAAAGCGCCCGTAGCCACCATCTTTCAGTTGGCAGGATGCACAAACGTCAAGACAGTCACACGTACCTTTAACCTTTCCAAACGTCCCCACTCCGAGTGTGTCTCCGAGAATGTAATGTCCAATTTTAACTCTTCCTTCATGTTTCTGTTTTTCCGTCGCCATCTTCCCGCAGTGGCCTTGCTGCGGGGTGGTTAGCTGCAAGCAGAGATGGACCGAACTCCGCTGTGTGCGTCTCTACTCAAGCGGCTGTGCTCAGCACGGAGGGTGTGGAGGCGCCCCGGCTCCGGCGCGATTCGTCGGAAGCGTAGGCGACGTAATATGTTGCCTTCAAATGCTCCCAGTAAATTCCTAAATCGCAGTGTGGATATCAATTTTACGTAGATTGAACTTGTCTGTGTCCAAATATGTATAGTAGCTTATATGGTCATTTTAAAATCGAGGTCAAAGTGAATAGAGAGGAAATATGAATTATACATACACGGGATGATTAACGGGAAACAAAGGTTAGCCAAAACTGTAGCAAAGTGACAAAAATCAGAAGAGAATCTCAGTACCAAACATGAACAAATGTAACAAAATGTAACATTAATTATTTACAGAGAAAGCTTTTAAGTGATCCAAGCTTTATGGGAACTGTGGATCTACTCAGCACTGTACAGCCATATATGGTCCTTTGTCTCTCCCTCTGTCTCCAAGACCTCTAATGACCTCTGTCTAAGACATGGCATACAAAATTAGATTATAGCTGGTGGTTATTGACAGAAAGTTCCTCACCTCACCCAGCATTTAATGCATTTATATTTTTACAGAGAGTTTAATGTGAGTCTGTGGTCACATACTGAGGCTTAATTTTACATATGTGCCATGTCTTAATGGAAAAATGAGTGCCAAAAGTCTTAAATGCAAAGCTTTCTGAAATAAATCCATAGGTTGGTTGTTCCCTGGATGTACACCCTAAGGGACTGTTCTTTACTTATCAGAAGAGGGGGGTTGCTGGGATGTTACTTCAGGTTTTTCTTCAAAGCTACAAATATAAGTCATTGAGACTCCCAGAGAGACTGGGGGAAAATGCATGGCCCTCCCTCCACCATAAATTAGTTGTTAGATTTTAAAACTTTGATTTTTGAAAGGTAAGAATTGAAGACGAAATCCTGGAGTTGAAAACATCCCAGGTTTTTCACCCCTGTCATGCACGCTGGGAAGTTAGGGCAAACAGTTTATTGTTTGGCAAAACTTTAAATGAGACACATAGATTAATGTGATTTTGATGAAATATCACATTTACAGCTTAGATTTATTTTTTATTTTTTTCCTGACGTAGCCGATGTCCCACATAATGTATTCAAGCAAGGACCGTCATAAATTTAAAAATACAAAAACTGTGTTTCAACAGTTTCTGGCTATAATAAGTGGTGTAATTTTGGTGGGTCTAGATATTATCTTTAAAATAAGTGGTAAAATTAATACAAATACAGCCATTTAAAGTTGTAAGCCCCTCCTCTAAGTCAAAATAAAAAAAACACAAGTCCCTTACCGGTGCTTAATAAAATTACTCGACACACGCCCCTGTTTTTGCACCATCCCGTCTCCTCTCATAAATAACGAACAGTCTCTAAGCAGTTGCAAAAATATGACAGGTGCCATGTTGATCACGAAGATGTTCTTGTCCAACCCATTTTGCCACTGAAACGCTAAATCACCTATTTGCTGTCACTAATCAAATTTTATTGTCTTCAACTTAATTGTATCAGTTCTTAGATTTGTGAAAAGTTTTGGTCACAAAACTGTAAATGTCTTAGGCCCCCTTTTCATTGTGTTATTGTGTTATAGTCATTGTGCAATTCTTTCCCCCAATACTATTAGATTCTGTAACCTGATGGGTACGAAATGCAGTTTTGGGCTCCTATTCATAACTTGGGGATACATTTTGTTATACTATTCTGTGCTATTTCAGGAATCTGCTCATGGTTTGGGAATACAAATGAGAGCGAACATTTGGTAGGATTATTAGGAGAGGACATTCACTCTCATCTGCCTCTAGAGACTGAGATTTGCACCACTTTAGTATTCATGGGAACGTCATTTTAAGGCAATTCTGGATATTAAAGTTATTAAATGGAAATATAGAACTAAAATCAAGAAACTATTCATGATAGAATATGAAACTGATGGCATGGATTCCCATGATGTCATTTCATATGTGATCCACACACCTGAAAACTTCTATACATTTGACAGGAAATAGTAAAAGTCAAAGGCAGCTGAAAGTTGTCTAGTCTGAATGATGGTTCTTGAGTTTGACCGGAGCCACTAGTACTGTATCTCATGACTTGGGAGACTGAGAATGGAACAGGTTGTGAATAACAATGAGCTCGTCAGGATGTGAAGAGCTGCTCAGTGACAGTGATGGATGACCAAAGCATCCCAAATCATACCCCAATGCACAACGAAGCACAAGCATCATGTACTTTAAAATATATCCTGAAAAACTGCAAAAATCTTTATTTAATTCTAACCTTAAGTATAACCTTAAATACAAGCTGAACAAATACAGGTTTCACGCTGTCAGTGAGCGATTATTAAAGAAAGAAAGGCCTGGTGAACAGTTACCATGACTCCCCAGAGAGGTCTGGTAGGAATTAACAGTTAGTACCAAAAGTCCTTGTCAGTGACGCTTGGTGTAGGTTTTGTGTCTCTGTGCTTGCTTCATTAAAGAATACTGATCAGACTGAACTTTCTATGCATAGTTTTACCATTTTAGGGCACAAGAAGTCATTTAATGCACATACAGCACAGTGGATATAGTCAAGCATGTTTAGCTCTATTTCTTATTGAGTGGGAATATTAGAAATGATGGTCAGGAAATGTTTGTCCATGAGTGTGTTTCTATCTCCTCAGCTCTAACCAGAAACCTGCAGATGGTTGCACCTAAAGTCCTCTCAGTGGTGACCTCTTGTGTTTTTTGTCAATCTTGTCAGCTCTTCTTAGCTGTGAAATAATAAAATGAGTTGACCAAGATAAGAAAAGCTGCTAACTGACAGTGAATCTGAGGTTTGTGTATTTAAAGTGACCGCATATGTTCTGCTACATTTGCTTGTGCAGTTTGTTTTCAGCATTTACTTTAGGAAGTAGGTAAAGGGTTAAATGACCATTGACGCTTATCCAAAAGAGGACACCTTTATCTTAACAACTGTTCATAACAAACAAAATTTGTTTGTTAACCAATGGAATGTATTGTCAGAAATTGAATATAATTTGTATATTTTCTATCACAACCTGAAATTAGAATCGTGTTTCATCACCTCAGAATGAGCCATTTATATCTACACAGGTAGCGGGTCCTTGTCAGTGGAGATTGCCATGTTGTACAGCCATGTTTCTACAGTATCTCAGAACAGACAAACCAAATGCTAAGCACTTTCAGCTCCTGGCAATCTGCAGTCCTCATTTTTAGATGCCACTAAATCTCCTCAAATCGTACACACTTTTTTCTGTATTCTGATGAATTTGTGTGCCCTAATTTGTGCCTTTCCTGCATCAAATTATGATGGACAAATGCACATGTTCTAAATGTTGAGGGGGATGTGTCCTGTGTCTCCCCATGATCTATGCCTATGCTGAGGTGATATGCAACAATCATACAGGAGGTATGTGAGGAGTAATTTGCGCTAAAGAATAGAAATTATTTGTTCAAATCTCAGACAGTGAGGGTACATAAACCATCATATACACTAAAATACACTTGCTTTAGATGATATAAATACATATGTGATCTTGAAGAAGCACCTTTTGAATATCTACTCAAAACTTGTAAAAGTGTGACTGTGTTAATAATGTATGAACAAAAGTTTTAGGGTGTGCCTCAAGGTGCAGTATATAATAGTCTTAGCTACAAGGCAACACTGTTTTTAAATGTCCAACACTGTGCTTGGGTGATGCATGTTACACTTGTCACTGTCTGCTGCTTTAGTACATTAACAGCTCAGTAATCGAGACTTTGTTTTAATAACCCTATATTCAACTCAATAGTGTTTTTCATTATATCATCACTGCCTCCTTTATATACACATCTTTCAGACTCCACATCTTTAGTTTGTATTATAAGCTTTCTGTTTAAAAAAAAAACTAGGTCTTGGCCAGAGCCGAGATAATAATGACAAATTCTGGGATGTTTATTCAAGATTACACGTTAATCAATGGAGTGACCCCTTAAATATATGACGCTACACTGGGCTGTGGTGTGCTTTTATATTTTTTATGGCACATACTACTTGAGCAATAGCTTGTGCAATATATCTGGGATTTGTAATCAACCTCAATTTAAACTGACATTTGCTTGTGCTTTTATATTATATATTAATATTATAATTGTATCATAGTTGTCTGGTGATGATGATCTTAATGATCTATTTTGAATCGCTCCCAGTCCACTACCAGTTTTATGATTCTTGTAACTGATCCTTTGAGTTCCTTATTCACTGTGTAGTTGTGTTGTTTTTGTCTTGCTGTGTTCTTGCAAATGTTTCCCGTTCTCAGGCCTCTCTTGAAAAAGAGATCTTAATCTTAATGAGACTGCCAGATTAAATAAAGATTAAATAAATAAAAATGGAAAAAATGAAAGATGTAATCTTTATTATTGAATTTGGGCTGTTTATATCCAGATATCAATCAGGTCTAATGGCATTCTCAACATTACCAGCCCGCCGGCTTATTGTTCCTAGCTGGAAATCCCCCTGCCCTCCATCTCATTCAAGCTGGATTCATGAAATAATAATGTCAAATGTCAAACTACAGAGAGTCAAATGCACAGTCAAGGACCCCTTAACAATGTTTGTGTAACAAATGTTGAAAATACGGTTTCTCGTTTGTCATGAATCCATTTAAGGCAGTGCTTTCCCTCCAGTTTTATCTTTTTTTTTTACCACTTCAACAGCTCACTCATGTCCTGCCTTTGAGCTCCCAGTAGATGGCAGCCTCTATGTAAGAGAGCAGATACTAAGGAGGAGGCTGTCCTGTCCTCAAATGCACTGTAGTGATGCATTCACAGTATCCATGTCAGCCAATGAACATTGACGTTCAATTTCTGAATACTGGTCTTGATTCAGCCATAGTCATAATCAAGATAAATCAAAACAACTCAGTCAATGACATAAAAAGCACACTGACTGATAATGTACAGAGAAATAAAAAAAGCATTTGAGTGAGAGTGACGAGAGTGAAATGGTCTCAATGTGGCAACACTGCAGCAGAAATTAATGAGGTTTTCTTTTAGCCTGACACACAACTTACATTTTAGATCTGAAAAACTGGATGAAATACAACAAATGTTGCAAAAGAAATCTGATGCTGCTTAACTGTAGAAAACACAGGGCAAGCAGCAATTCAGGGTTCAGGCCCTCTCTCGGCCAGCAGATGGAAGCAGCTCAATTGCCAAAAATCGAAGCCACAAGCAGCAGCAAACAGGGTTTCAGCTTCACTTGGCTGAGCAAAGTCACTTCAGTTTAGTTCTGTCTAACGACAACCACACACTTGTCTCGCTATTACAGTGTATGCAGCATTTCAGGAACAGCATACTCCAAATCCTGCCATTTGCACCATCTCTAATTGGAACTGGATGAAACTTGGTCTGTTCGTTCAGAGGTTAATTCCAGTTGTGTTCACTGAGTTTAATCAGGATCTCTCATAGAAACTTGAGTTATGACCTTTTTCCCACCCAGCCCTGCCCTTGACAAGTTTTTTTCAATAATGGCGGCCATGTTTTTTGACCAGTGTTGCACATTTATAAGAGAAATGTGTATTTCTGTCTCACAAGGCTGTAAACCTATTTTGGTTTTGATTGAGTCAAAATTAAGAAAATCTATTCATATTACTATTTTACATGCTATGCAAATTAGCAAATTAGTTGTCCAAGAGCCTTCTTTGCAGACCACATTGAGATGTAGATATGTTTCAAATTTTAAGTCAATCAGACTCACATAGGCTCAAAGCTTTAACTTTTTCGACTCTCAATTATGGCGCCACCATCTGGTCTATTCCCTTCACATTTGATGTGAAGCATTAGGACATCATTTTCAGTTACGGTGCCAAGTTTCATGTCTCTAGCTTATTCGAGGTCTCAGTAATTTGAGCAAAGACATTGTATAGCATATAATGGTAACTAGGCCACGCCCACATACACCAGTCATTATCACACTCAAAATGGTTTGGTACACCAAACCAAAACACGTACTGAAGCTATCTACCAAGATTTATGATGACTGGAGAAATATATAATGAGTTACGGCCAATTTACTCCTAAGTCCCGCCTTTTGCGAAGACTTCCTCATTGACACCAGTTTTGCTCAGTTATGATAGAAATATGTCTCTCAGTCCCATAAGCCAGGAAATTTAATGACTGAGTCAAAGTTAAGAAGTGTTTTTACTGTTTTTTACATTAAGCAAATTTGCAAAACATCCATCATGGTGGACTTATATGGTCCAAGAGGCTTTTTTGTAGACCACATTGAGCTGTCTATATGTGCCAAGAGGTGCTGCCTTTTTAAAATAGCATTTCTGGGCATTAATTATAGTGCCACCATGTTTTGTCTAATATCTCTTGGGGAGCACTTGCACATCATTTCCAGTTATTGGGCCAAGTTCCATAATTCTAGCTCGTTCCAGCTCATGGCAGCTTCAGCTGCAGCATAAGACAACAATAAATAAATAAATAAATAAACTAGTACTAAAAGAATAAGGTTTTGCTCTTCAGGCCTTTACTGTAATAAGACCTTACATGTACCCTGGGGTCAGTATCATAATCACTGGCTGGATGCATAATTTTTTCTTACATGAGCATCCCAGCAGTCCAACTCTATTATTTCTTCCACTATGCCCACATAAGCTCCTGGCAGTTTACTACATGCAACGGTGATTATCATTTTAATTACAGAGGTGCTTATTATAATCCTACTGGATCTGCCTGTTAGCATGCTTGTTAAGGTATTGCTTACACTATTCCACACCTGAGCACCTGCTCTCCCACTGACATGTTATCTAGAATGACCTTTAAAGCCAATGAAACAACACCAAACAACAAACTGTTTGCACTGGCAGCTATTGACTTTTTTCATGAAAACATTTTATTGCTCAAGAGTATGTATGCATACAACTGTGTGTACATTAAGAGACATGAAGAGTTAATGAGAAAATATAGAACGAAAGCATTATTACAACATCCAACATGTTGTCACAGCCAAGGATTCACACACTATTTATCTCTGCCTGTGAGTGAACTGGGAGATGATCATGCAAAACTGAGACTGAGATTTTCTCATTTGCTAAACTGATAATTCATAGGTTTTACCTTTGCATTTATCAGCGCTAATAGCTAAGGATGTGTTGGAATGTTATCTCTTATAACAAATGGATTTTTGTATGATGAAAAACTCCCCCTCTCTTGATAGACTGCCAATCTTTCTAACTATGGTGTTCTGTGTAAGCCAAGGCCACTGACTTAACGTTACAGGGTAACTTTGGTATTTTTCAACCTGGACCCAATTTTCCAGTGTTTTTGTGTCTAAATGAATAATGGAGACAAGAATTTTTGAGATTGGTCCAGTCATGAGCAATACTGCAGCAGCCTGCAGTAAAATCCTTTTTGCTTCACCAGAAATAGCTCAGAAATTGCTATTGACAACCCTACCAGACTCCATTTAAATAAACTGCGATTCTATTGTTGCAAAACACACTTCATTCAAAGTCAACATGAAAAGAATTAAACTCACAAAAACCTTCTTGGTTCATCTTTCCACTGTTCCAAGAATCATCAACTCAGGTTTAGCTGAAATAAACCCTTAATTCACCCGTTAGATGTGAAAATATGCTGGCTCTATACACGCTAAAATCACTGTTTATTTAAATAGAGTCTGGTGTGTTCGGCGATCTGGATTTCAGGGCCGTTTCTGGTTAAACAAAAGGAGTTTACTCTCTGACAAAAGGGTCTGTCTCTGTAGGTATCCTTTCCATAATGTTGTCAGACATGTAGAATAATAATCTGATCCTGTCAGTGGCAAAAATAACCACTTTTTATGAGCGTAAATTGACAGTGCCCAATTGCCCCAAGTGATGGCATTGCAGCCAGTTTTGCTGCAGTCAGGGTCTTGCTCATACTGAATCAATTTTATAAACCGTTCCTCTCATTAGTCATTTAAACACAAAAACATGGGAAAACAGGGTCCAGGTTGAAAAAAAAACAAAACACAGTTACTCTTTAAATAGCATTACTGCATCTATGACTTAATCTCCCTCTCAATGTAGTATGTCATCTCCTGCTATTAACATAATAGTGTAATGTGTTCTGAACAAACACTGGCATTTACTAGTGAAATAAAAAAATATTCAACCACAATTTAACACTACTCTATACCTATTAAACGTGTCATTTTTTCACCCAAACTCAAAATTAGTCAAGAGTTTAATGGAGATCTCAATGACAGCAATAAACATTAAAAACTTAACAGGCCAGTGTAAGAAGAATTTTAATTCCTTTGGTGTCTGCAAACAATGTGCATCTTAACAACATTAAAAGATGTAGTACACCTATGAGACTGAAAACAAAATAACATTATAGTTTCAAACATGTTAAGTGGGTTAAAAATACTACAAGTACCAAATTCACAGTAAGTAGCGTGAGTTATGGGAACACTGAGGCACAAATTACAGAATTCACAGGACAATGAACCCAGTTCAACAGAGAGGGATGATTAGCTGATGAAAAAAGATTGAGAATCAAAGACAAACTGGTAACACATGTATGCATTGCAAGACAAGTACAGGGTAACCTAATCAGTCAAATCATCCCACAAGCAGGTTGCTGGGACATCGACAAATAATAGTAAGAAAAGGGAAACAACTACATTTTAAAAAATCCACCTTGTGAACATCACTCACTCAGAATGTTGTGGAAACACCATATCAATACAATTCAACAAACATCATCAAAACTATCTCACCAAATAAATTTATTTCACGGTTTGTGGAATTAGTAAGCTAAGCGGACTGCTCGAACTGAACACCTGTGTGCACTCCCTCCTTTTTCAATCTGTGTGTTTAAGCTCTACAGTATCTGCATGTTAAGGCACTTGGAAAGAATATGATTGTACTGTGTGTGAGTATATTATGTACATCTGTTACGCTTGTGTGCCTGTAAATCACACTCCTTCCAAAATTAACATGTGCTTAACCTTACAGATCTAAAAATGGAGTCAGATTTGCTGTTCTTCAAGCCTGTCTTCAAGCCTGTCGTCAACATATTCTCTTATTCACTCGCACTAGCTGAGAGAGGAATATTAAAACGCATAGCAGTACAGTCATCTACAAAAAAAAATGCTTTTCCGATTATGAGGTGGCCATGATAACCTAGTTACTGATTCCAGATCAGTATTTTGGCTTTGAGGGCTGATGACTTTGACCCAGAGGAAATGGGCCGGGCCTCTAATCTCTGGCACCTGATCTAAAGTGAGACGTGGACCAAGATTAGCCTGGCAGGAATCCATCCAAGACCACTGAGGACAGTGCAAAAATGTGTTGGAAAAAAATGCTTCTTTTCCTTGTGCTTCTCCAAAAGCATCCTACTCTTAGAATGATAAAAATGAACGCGTCCCAAAAATTAAACAAGGAAAAACAACCTCTGGAGAATTTGGAGTTTTCCCTTAAAATATAACCATGAAACACTTACTACAAAATTGAATTTATCAAGGAGGTTACGTGTACAACTACCAATGCTACATTTCAATTAAAAGGATAAAAGATGAATAAGAATATTCACAGTCAAACATCATTTAGTGAGTTGTGGGGTTCAGTCTTCCAAATGACAAACACCTTGCATACACCGTATATCACAAAATCACATCCTCGATCACTGGTCCCACACTAATACAACACTCCACATGTTAAGAGAACGACTCGATTTCACGCAACCGCCGATGGTCCCTCTGCTTCACAAGCAGTCTGGAGGCTGACACCTAGAGTTAAGGCAGGCTTGCAATGTCCCGCTTTGGAGGGGGTCCTTCTGGCTTGCAGGGAGAGCCATTGGCTTTGTCCTCAAAGATCAAGACTCTGTGGAGAGAGCATTAAATAGCAGTGTGTTAAAATGTAAATTAGGAAGACAGGCGGCAGTAAAAGATAGTAAACAAGAAAAGTATAAACACCACAAGCAGGATGTGTAAGTGAGAAGGGATAATCGGATCCCGCGGGATACAGAGAGCAACACTTAAAGTCAGGGTATGAGCTACAGTTGAGCGGTAAGTGAAAGGAAAGGAATGAAGGGAGACCACAAAGGGGAGTTAGGGGAATAGTGGTTTAGACTGTAAACAGTAGAGTGAACGATCTGACAGGAGCTATTCAGAGCGAATGCCTGTCTTTAATTTCCTTTTTTGGAAAACTCTGCAAAGCTCCGCTAAGCTCATAAGGAGCAATGATCCTGGCGATGAAACCGGCACTCGGCAACTCAAACTGTGGCACATCTCTCTGGCAACCGCTCACATTCCCCTGTTTCTTAACACTTCTGATATCTGCTGCTCACAGCTGCAGGAATTAGGCATTTTCACGAAAATGACGTTATCCACTTATGTAGGTCAGCAAAAATGATTGAGCTCACGTCCATATATTGTATGAAAGGGTTCCTTCAACTCAAAGCAAGTTAGAATTAAGACTTTTTATGACTTTTGGAATAAAACTGAAGACCAGTATCAAATAAAACAAATAAAACAGACTTGTTATATTAGGTAGGACCATTTTTTAACCATTGAACTCTTTAGCAGAAATGGTGTTGACTTGTTACTGTTCACTAGCACTCGGTAAATACAATAAAACATTGTGGTGGTTGTGTTGTTAATGTGCTAACTGGCTAACTAATGTCTAAAACCTGTCCTGTTGGTCCTCTGGTTTCCGTTGTTTAATGACGAATACAGATTAGTTATTTCCTCTCACGCGGGTGCAGAATGTAAATGCTGGTTGGCTGAGACACAGGCAATGTGAGATGTAGCAACAGCCTTTGTCGCCACTAGTTGTCTGATGTTGGTTTGTGTGGTGTGTGGGGGCCTTTACAGTCATCAGTCATCTACTACTGATTAAATGAAATATCCAATAACAAGTCAAATGGCCTGTTTTGTAAATAAATTTTTCACTGCACAGTCAGGACTAACTTGTTGTGACTGCCTCCATTAAAATGAATAATATTTAAGGATGATTTCAGCATATTGCCATGTTAGGCTAATCTGCTCTATATTGACAGAAGAGCTTAATAGATAAAGTGACTAGCGGACTTAATCTTGTTAATGTGTACAAACCATAGACTGTACAGTGCAACACACAATATATACCCATTTAATCTGTACAAAGATGGAAACATACACGTTTGCACAGTGATATTAAGTGAGTAGGTAGGACTCCTGTGATTATCTTAATTTCATGTAAAAAGTGGAATTTAGTTCTGTGTAAACTGTAAAAACAACAGCTTTGCAGTCAAGATCCCTCATAGCTGTTGCTACTTGTTAACCAATCACTAGTATAAAATCTGTATGAAATCTGTTCGGCCCATCTGCCATTCAAAATCTTGTTTAAACAAATGAGACTGACTGTGCATCCTTGCGCACTTGTGTACTGCACAAACTGGGCCCGATGCGTGGAGCCTGACCTCAATCATTTTCCTCTAATTGTAACTACATCAATTGTTGTCATGCCAAATGCTTTGAATAACACTATTCTGGAGCTCATTGTACCCCCAACCTCTCCCTCCCCTCTCCTCTCTCGAGAGACAAAAACAGTGGCACATAAGAGAGGCGTTGTAGACCTTTGGAGTTATCAGAGAGTGGGGAGCTGCAGTTGGAAAGGGCACGATTCTCTGTGTAGGTAGATAAACCTCCATCCTGTGACCAGTGTTTCCTTCTATAATCATAACAAGAAATATGTACATACATATTACATGTGCTACAAAATGTTAGTGGCCAGCAAAAGCTAATGATCTTTTCAAACATACCATTCTCCTGGTGAATTTAATTACTAATGTCAGATTTTTCTGGAGTATTAAGAATATCTTACTAGAATGCCACCGTGAGGACAAGTGAGGTCGGGTTGAATGAGGTATTTATAAACAGCGGCTGGGGGATTATGGGATACACTTTTGAAAAATGGTTGAGGGCAAAGGAGGAAAAGTTATGCGTTTTCTCTGCTTGGTGTTTTTGGGATTATGAGGATTTGTCTACTGAAGGGTCCAGCCAGCTTAGTCCAGCAGAGCTGACATGCAGCAGCCAATACACTCTTTCTCCTGCAGTCTGACCCACTGCAAGGCTGCTTTAAGGGGCTTACACTGCCGACACTAACCCCTTTCAAAACAGCAGGAAATATGCCACCTTATCCAAAAATTGCCCATTTAAGGGGAAATAATTTCTATTGAAAAAAGATGAATTTTGTTGACAGAAACAGTTTCTGTGTTTAAGTCGGTCCCACGTGACTGTCCGTGGTTAATCAGCCTATAATCAGTTACCTAAGCACATGATCCCAGCTCAGGATAAGGATGGGTTGCCTATGGATAGGCTTCATAGATAGGTTTTGGTGCCATGGAGATTAACGACTAATGCAGCATGTGGGTAATGACATCATTGCTAGTCATCCCAGAACCTGATGGATGAAACAATTGGCTGACACAGCATACGATTCATATCCTCCCTCTCAGACATGGGAGCACACACGCCATGAGCCAGCAGGTGATTCATAGACACAGCTAACTGTAAAAACAGGTGAAGGGTCTTGTCACACACACACACACGCACAGAGGTTTACTTACAGTTTGAGCACAGCTGAACGCTTGCCCAGCATCATCTTGACAAAGTCCCTGTAGTTGATAGTGTTGCTGCTGCTGCCGCCCGTCACCTCGACAATCATCTTTTTCAACTCCAAATGGGTCTTGGGCACCCCAAGCTTCTCCATCATCCGCTTCAGACCCATCAAATCTGAGAGAAAGTACATTTGACAATTAGATTCATGCTTAAGAGAGAGAATATGGATTATTTTTATGCATTTGTCAGAGTGTATTTGTGAGTATTTCTCACAAAAATAAGTATTTAAGCAACTGGAAGAAGCAAGTTAAGGGTCACTCCAACAGTTAAACACATATTCAGGTTACTCATGACAAGCACCACTACTGAGCCTGTTAAAACAGCTGTATAATGTCTTATGTTGCACTGGAGGGAGTTTTACAAAGTCTGAAAAGACAACCCTGATGAGTTATGTCAGTTTGGGACCTATACGTTTTAACAGAAAGCCTTTGTTACATATGGTGTGGGGTTTGCAAGATTGGAGCATTTTAGAGGCAAATAGATACTTATGTAAGATGATCTGAGTTACATTATGAGAAAGCCAGGATCTGGTTTGTTCGGAGCTTCACCCATACTAGGGACTGAAAGTCACAGTATCTCAGGTGCTTTTGCTTCATCACAACTAAATTGCTAGAAAATATTCAGGGTTTAACAGTAAGAATTTCCAGATTGCCTGGGGCAAGTAAAATATTTGCCATGTTGGGCTAGTAAATCTAGCAACTCACTTGCCTGATCAGGCAAGTGGTAAAAAAGATTCAAACACAATTGTCCTCATTTATCAAGATAGCGCAGATCCTTGTGCAGAAATCATCTTATGATAGGGTTTGTGTGTGATTCATAAAATCACCACTGATGTCCAGCCTTCAGTCAGAGTGGAGCCAGGCAGATTCTAGCTGTGATATAGAGCACTTGTCCACGTGGCAGCTATACATTTTAAGTGATTAATATGTGGCTGCAAATAAATAGATGCCAGTCAGAATATGGTCTAATCCAAATTCTCCAACTCAGCCAGATTTATAATGCATGCTGACTCAAACTTGTATACATGAGTTGAGACCTGACATGAGAGTTGATTGTGGCCTCTGCTTACATCCACACTGATAAATGCTGAGCTTTGCATTAAACTGACTGTGTGCCCAGTTTTCTGTCATAGGTGTGTTTCATAAATGAGGGCCATTGTTTATATTTGGAGATCATGATGGAGATAGCTAAAGAGTGAGACATCTTGCTTCCTTCTCATCTCTTTGACAGTTGCACATGTGCAGTACCAATTTGTATTTGTTATTTGATAACTGCTAATAAAAAAAAAAAAAAAAAAAAAGAATATTGTCCACCTTGCTTCTATTCTCCTATCCTATCCTAATTAACTTAATTTCAAATGATGGAGTTTCCAACATCCTTCAATGTAGACCTTTGTATAATTAGGAAATATAGCTAGCAAAATAGGACTCTACAGTTACACTAGCAGATCTGTGAGGCTATACTTAGGCATAGTGTTGCTTTAAGCTAAATACTAATGACATGATGCTAACATGCTCGCAATGACAATACCAGCATGCTGATCTTTGGCAAGTATAGTGTCTTTATTGCTGTCTCTCTAACTGATACTTCTGTACTGATACTGGCTATTTTGATTGCTTAAGTGTGTTCACACTGAGAAGTTTGGCAAAATGCAGCACACTATGAGTACCCAGATGGGGCACTGGTAAAAAACACAAAGTTGAGCGTAGAACGTTGGACACTTCTCACCCTCAATGGCTGCCATGTTACCTACGTAGCAGAAGGGGCGCGACCAAAAACATGGAGCATTGTATAAATGTAAGTTGAGTTAAACATGTATGGGGTGTCGGTAGCTTAGTGGTAGAGCAGGCGCCCCATGTACAAGGCTGTTGCCGCGGCGGCCCGGGTTCGAGTCCAGCCTGTGGCCCTTTGCTGCATGTATCTCCCTCTCTCTCTCCCCCCTTCATGCTTCACTGTCATGTCAATTAAAGGCAAAAAATGCCCTAAAAAAATATCTTAGAGTTAAACATGTATTTTTAACTACCACTGTACTGTTGTCTCATAGAAGCCATCAGTTTGCTTATTGGGTTGATTCTGCAATAATTTGGTACCACGATCGGTAATGCAAATGCTAACGTTAGCTTCTTAGCTAGCTAACAACGACACATTTTATCATCAGGCATTGATGTTACATGTGTTGTGATGTAAGCAGGGCGTAAAATTAACACCCGCCAAGCGCCAGTGGCGGGTAAAAAATGAGTTTGGCGTGTAAAACAAAGACACACACCCAATGGAAAATTTTGAATTGCATGTGGGATTTTTATGTGCTTCGACCATTTCTGCCAGCTGTGTCAGACTATTTTGACCCTTGCAGCTTATTGTACGTGTGCCGGGAATGCATGACGTCAGCAACTGGAGCAAGATGTGGCGACACATTCCTGCCGTGAAGCCTCCGCCAGAAAAGAGGAAAAACGAAGATGAACATGTTGGACTTGGACAAGAAGAACAGACAGTTAAACGGAGTACAAATGTCGCATGGCATTTTATTGAAAAATGGAAACTAGACGAGGCTGGCCAGCCGCGGTCATGGCTGACCTACAACCCCCACACCAACATGATGAGCTGCAGCCTTTGCCACAAGCACGCCAAAGAAACACAGAGGACAGGGTTGGATTTTCCTAAAGTTGGATTTTCATACTAAAACCGTAAGGTAATTATTTTTAGTCAAACAAGGCACGATTTTTTTATTTGGCTGGTGAAAAATATGTTTGGCTGGTAAATTTTTGGAGGTCACTAGCCAATGGCAGATGAGGTAAAAAGTTAATTTTACACCCTGGATGTAAGTTATATTTGGTGTTTTTGCATGTTTGGTTGCAATTTACCGAGCAGACGAAGAAAAGGTGTCAAATCTTGTGACTGTCATTTCCAGTAAGTGCACAACAGCCATCTTTGATTTAGGACAACACTGCCCTGTCAAAATTTGCGCACTACACAAGTAATTGCATAATGTACGCAGTGTACTATATCTAAGTGTAGTAATGGAAGTATTTGATTTAAAACACAGCACATGTTCACATATTAGCATGTGTGTTTATGGCATGCCAAGACCATAGTGGTGGAACAAGCAACTGACATTGCCATCTGTTTTTTAAATCTACTGACGTGGACAAAAAAACAAACAAGCTGACATAAAGGACAATTAGCAGCTTCTTTCAGGACCTGCAGACAGACACCAGATCTGCTGTCTGACTCTCACACCACAGTTCGCCTCACATCTGCTCAAGAACTAAAGACCTTCCACACTGGTGTACAGTATGGTCTCACTTTACATACAGGACACAAACATGACACATGAGCCCGTTCGAGCCCTGCGCTCACACTGGTCAGACAATACACGCAGTATTAATTACTGCTCCCTCATGTCGACACTGTACATGGGTCAGCTCACAGTTGTTATCCGGGGTGCAGGTGGTGTGTTAGTGCGACTATTACTCACCAATCTCTCCTTGGTCATTCAGGTCAAACTCTGCGTACTTATCTGCAAAACAAACACACATGAGAGATCATTAATAACAGCTCACACTAGGGTTACACACAATAGTTGACTATCAAAACCATGAGTCAACACTGTGCATCGTTGTAGACAAATTGTTCATCTGTGGTTTTAGCATGGTGCATTAATAAAGCAGGTGCAATGCATCTACAGCAGATACGCAGCTGGGGGCGCTGTGGGGAAAAATATGATACATCTCCTGTGATTTATCAACTAGTTGACTTCTTTTTGGGAGTGGTCGATGACCACTAAAATGCAGCAGTCATGAATGTCCTAGCTCACACACCACATCACGTAAATATTTTAACAAACTCCCATCCCCAGCTGGCATCTTACATGTCAGCAAAACTGTTAACACACGTCTGGTGAGCTCACCGTCTTACACTCTGCTGACAGCTGACCTGGCAGAAGCACAGACAAAAACAGCTGATAATGACAGGTGTGCTTTTGTGTGTGTGTTAAACGTGTCTGTCAGTGGAAAGCAGGCGAGGAAAGGGCAGCTGAGTGGGCTTGACGTGCAAGACGGATTAGAGCGAGGGGGTCAGGAAGTTAAAAGAGAACTTAAAGTTCAAACTCAGCAATCAGGAAAGAAAACAAAGAGGACTGGGCTGAACGCTGTGAGGCTCAGATAGAGTTTTTCCTCACAGTCACTCACTAAAATAAATCTGGTCCTTCTAGCCTCAAAACATGCAGACAAACCACTGATACTGGCTGAACATATAACGTCTACTATCTATTTAGCTACATAGTTATTGAAGCTGTATCATACCTTTTGCATACCAAACTCAAGACATTTTCACAAACACTGGACTTCCCAAAACAGAGTCCCTTTTTATTAACAAAGAGCAATGTACATGCAGTCATTCAAGTTAAAGGAATAGTTTGACAATTTGGAAAAATATGCTTATTCTCTTTCTTACTGAGAATTAGATGAGAGGATCAATACCACTCTGATATCTGCTTGTTAAGTATTAGGCTGGAGCCAGGAGACAGTTAGCTTAGCTTGACATAAAGACTAGAAGCAGGGGGCAACCATGGATGTATTAAGACACCTGGATACAGCAATGGCGACGGGGCTCCATTCAGTTCTATGAAAGATGCTTAGTGGCGCATGAAGCCAAAATCGCTCTGTGACCGCAGTATGAAATTACCCGGACGATCAGCGCTGCTTCCGCATCATTGGGCCTGTAGAGCAGGTACACTAGAGACTTATGGCTGCTGAGCACGGCTGAGTGCGGCCAAGTGGCTGACTTCTGGTTTGGTGCTCCGCTAACTTGAATGCGGATTAAATTATTTAATCTTGCGGCTCTTTTAGACTTTCTAAATGTTATTGAATCAAATGGATTAAATAATGATAGTGGAAGGAGTTGTTTCGTAGGGGTTGTGACGCTCACAAAAATGTATCCACTGATTTATAGACGTTTCTTTCCCAATGTAAGGCCATAGGAAAAAGTCTTTTTGGGCCAAATGGTACGATATGACGGACCCCTGAAATTGCAAAACCACTGTTGGGCCACTATGAAAATTGGCCTCAAAGCCAGGAACACTTCCTGGGGGCAACAGCAAGACTGGTTGTGTCTGATGGTTAAAAAAATAACCCACAGATACAATAGTGTATGAGATCTTCTCATCTAACTCTTTGAAAGAAACTGAATGGGTGTATTTCCTGAATATCAAACCATTCCTTTAACCACAAATGTTATTTATCACAGAAGACTTGAGTTATTCTATAACCGTACTTTAAATTTTTGAAGGCTAAACCTAAAAAGCTTCAACAAGAGCATTATGAAAAGCTTTTGACTCCGTAAGTGGATTTGATATAATGTTCAACTATTAAACTCCAACCCAATTAAAAATCCTATTTTCCTTTTAGAGGACGACTCTGGTGTATTACTTTGTCATGTGTTTGTGGTCCATTCATATTCTTATCCATAGATACTATTTGACAAATAGTTTGACTGCAGTTATCAGACCCTTAAATTTAATGCTTTGTAAGACCTCTTTAAAATTATTTTAAACCAAATTTAACACTGTTTTTTGGACAAATCATCTTTTTCCTCTTCAAGAATCGCGGGTAATTATTAGGGCTGTCCCGAATACCATTTTTTAACATTTGGACCTTCGGCAGAATTTATAACAACTATTCGAATATTCGTTCCCGGGGGATTAGGGGGGGTGGCGGCGGCGGACTCCGGGGTTTTTTCGGACCTAATTGTATTGCGGAGTTTTGCACAGCAGTGACCGGATCTTTGCATTCAAACCACAAAAAAATGTGATGGCACAACAGTCTCCTTCAGTACATTATTCTATGCTTTCTTTTGATTTTCACATTGGCTAGTCATCCTGTTTAATTTGTCTTCTGATTAAATCGGAACCGTTGAAACAAGTTGTAGGAAGCCTCTGCAAGTAATTAGTTGCTGGCAGACACTCTGTGCTGCAATAAAATGGTTAATCAGCAGTGCCGTGCACTGTAGAGCCGATGCGCTGCTGGTTCTGCCAGCCTGAATAGAATATAATGTCTATAGCCTTGTGTACAGCCTTTATAGACTGAGCTGAGTAGTGATGCGCGGGTTGACCCGTAACCCACGGGACCCGCAAATGGACCTGCTGCGGGTCGGGCAGCAGTGATCGTCTGTTAAATCGGTCTGTAAATGATATTTTGACATTATTAGCTATTATGGCATCCAAAGGTACTGATGTGTTGAGCAGGTGACAGTCCGCGGCTGTTTTCAAAACACACTTGTGTCACGCACTCCAAATGAAACTTGCTGAAACTTTAAACAATAATTTATTGTACTAAATGGGGGAAACAAACGTTGACAAAAACGGTTCCATAATTCATATTAAATTCAAAAGATCACGAAAAAACAGCTACAAGTTAGAGGGAATAGTGATAAAGTGGTAAAACTTGGCATTGATCCACAGCCTCAGACGGATGCGCTCAAGCGTGCCTTGCGCACAAGCTCCGTTGGTAGGCTATACTATATTTTCACATTTTTAATAATGCAATTTAAAAGTTTTGATTTTTATTGATAACCTACATTTACCAACAACAAAAAGACTACATTTAGCACCAAAAAATATGTAAAAATAAAAAAAAATAAAAAAGAAGTAAATAAAAAACCCAATATCGAATACCAAATTTTCATAACGAATACCTACCCATAGAAACGAATATTCGAATATCCGAATATTTGGGTACAGCCCTAGTAATTATAAAGGTATGAATAAGGTTCCATTCAGAGGTAAGTATTATGTAGGAATATGGTAATCAGATTGAGCTAGGTTAATCTACATTTTGCCAAAAGGTAAGTGCAAGTATAAAGTAAAAAGACAGAATTAGGTTCAGTGGTTTCAAGGTTTGTAACATCAGAAATGTGAACTATCACGCAGAAGAGCTTGATTCATTTTGACAAAAAAACATGGATAATGGACATTAGATAAAAATGTTTTTTGGCAATTAAGACCTCACAAATTCAAATGTAAGAATATTCAATGACTTTTAGGGTCTAAACTGATGATTCAAATTCTGATTCAACCTTTGGGCAGTCCTGGTAAATATTAACGCCTGCATTGTCGTTCACATATAAAAGCTCATTATGAACATCCTACTGAAGAGGCTGCTGCTATGAAAAAAAAGCAGACTTTTCCCGCTTCTTTCTAAATTTCACCATTCTCTTTTGTTCTGAAGACCCCTTTAGTCAGATTACACTCTGCTATTTCTGTCTCACACTGGAAGCTCTGTGTGGGAGTGTGCTGGGGGGGTTGAGAGAGAGGACTGTGTTAACTGTGTGAACCCGGGGGAAAAGGAAGGGGACAATGCTAACCCTGTTCATAAACTCTGAGGAGGGGGCCTCCACACACACACACACACACACACACACATACACACACACAGAGCAGTTCTTGAGTGGGACACTTGTCGTAGAGCAGCCTGTTGATCATCTGCAGCCACAAAAAATGGCTCTACTGAACAAAACTCGTCTTCAGTGTATCCTCCTGACCTACATTCCTTTAGTAACGGATGTGACACAGTAACAGTGCCATCAAATAACCAGCCATTTTCTTCCTTAACTTAACTGTTTTTTTGGTCACTCACAGAGAGGTTTGTGATTTAAGCTCAGTTTAATTTGAATTGTTTGGTAGTGACTTTGACTACAAGCTTTTGGCAGCTATCATTTGAAGGAACCTTTCCACTGTGAAAACAAACCTTACTGATAAAACAGTGGAACAGATAATGACTGCCCTTTGGCCAACAGATAAAGAATTTCCTCACCCTTTTAACAGACCCTGACCCTACGGACAGATAAAAGCTTCAGTGCAGACTTGTATTCATCCTAATAACAACTTGATTTCTGTGCCCCAAACCTATTTGAAGCATTTTCTCTTTAAGATGTGGGAATATGCAAACAATGTAAGACTTAGATATGAACAGGTTTTTGGATAAGTGCAAATACTGCAGTGCTGACCTGTTTGAGAAAGTGGCTGAAGGAATGAAAGAGGGAGGCTATGTTTGCAAAGTCCAACAAGTCTGCCACCAGTAGGAAACTTTAAATTAATAACCTGGATATACACAAAGAAGCAAAATGGCACAAGCATCTCCAGCCATATTTTGATGTGATAAACATGTTAGGACAAATTAATGGGAGTATGCATGGTAGGGGTGTAAATCACTACTTTCTTCACAATACAGTATTGTATTGATTCTTTGGACAACTGTACAATATTTACTGATATCAAAAGTCTGCCACGATACAGTTTCAATTAAATTCAATTAAGTGGCCTGAGTATGAGACATTAGACAATATCAGTAAATATCCTCCTGAAGGCAACATGGCTACAAAGCCACCAATCGCCCACAGTTTCAAAATTACATACATCAATTCCAGCAGCGTACTAGGTGAAGAAATAGAACAAAGTAAAGATATCAGATGGTTAAACAACTGGTGCAAAGACAGTATCTTCACAAAGTACGGGAATGATTAGAGGGAATGTAAAGCACACTCAGGGTGAGACGGTTAGTGGTATTCTCATTTTGGTATTTGTTGTATACACAGGGTAATACTGGTTCTCAGGTTTTTCTACAATATATTCAGTTTTATTTTATTATTTTTTTTAAATGTTCAAAATAAATAAATCAAATAAAATCACCCCCCCCCCCCCAAAAAAAAATTGAATTTGTCAAGATTAAAGTATACATTTATATTTTTAAATTTTGATTTTGACATGAGATATACTATTTGTTTGCATCTTATTTCACCTGTTAGTAAACCACTACAAATACAAAACTCAAAAAAATAAGAGCTTTTTTAGGATATTTAGTTAGTGTGATTTCCAGTTTGTTGAGTTGTACTAATATTGCCTGAATCCAGCTTCAATGAGCCTAATATTATCTTTCATAAAAATTTAACTGTTCTCCATATTTCAGGTGAGGTGGGGCTCCTCCACGGTAAGAAGCTGCAGGAAACACTTGTCTCAGTAAAATTATTGTATTACTGTGATAGTTTACAAAGTTATATAAAATCAGTCTTTAAATCATTCTTTTTTGATGGTTGATTTTGTGAGAAACACGTTGACAAGAATTGCTCATATAATAGCTAATCAAAATGACTAATTCAAAACAAGCAAGTCATGTTAAAGTAGGGCATGTTTATGACTTTTTTTTTTTGGTCATGATGTGATTTGGTGGGTGGATAAAAGCACCGTGTGTGGATCTCAGCGTCACTGGGACAGTAACAGAAGGGGAACGATGATCCTCTCAGGACCTGGGTGTCAGGTCCCCTTTCTGTTTATATATTACTGCTCCATTTCCTCCAGCGAGCATAGATTGTAACTAGGACACTGGAGCATGTTTCTCATTTCAAGACATATGCCCTCTATTCCCACAATCATCCTTATGTTATTCTGCATGGGAAATCACAGGGAAAAAAAGACTCAAGAGTACACTACATGCACTCTGAACACACGTGATATTTGAGCAATAGGGAGGAGATCTTTGGCAAATCGTGCAATTTTGTTCCCTTGATTTTCTCCCAGTAACAGTGATTTTTTCTATTCTCAGGAGCTATGAGTTTACCCAGCAAAGTTCGGAATATTGTAACAACAAGCAGAGGAACGCCCCAGCACATTCCTCCAAGGCCACTGAGGACTTGGCCTCGCAAACCTCTTAGAAAATATCCGCAGTCTGTCTTTCCCACAGAGAAAAACAAAATGCTAAAGACCCATGTGTGTGTGGAGACTGCCAACAAATAAACAAATACCGAGGCTCAGACAAAAGCCAGGAAAAAAGGAACACACCCTCAGAAAGACAGCTGAATACTTGCAGATACTGAAACTACTGAGGGGAGGACTGGTTTGCTTACTTTTGAGACCCTCCAGTTTCTCAGGCAGGTCCTCTTCATCCCTGTATTTCTGGTCTTCCAGGTATTCCTAAGAAGGAGAGAAAGTGATAAACAAACTGAAGGTGATCAGAGAAAAACTGAAACCAATTACATCAGTTTGGAGCCGATTTTGAAACTTTGCTGAGAAAGTTCCAGCAGCGTTACACAACAGACATCAAAGAGGACAGAAGCCCACGCACAAATTAGAGCATTAACTACACTAATCTGATTGTGTTCTGTCAAAAGCATCAAAAACTTCCAACTTGAGAGTGATGACTCACACTCTTAAGATGTTCCGCCCCTGCATTGTCATTACTTATCACTGTGTTTATTAAGTGGAACACCTCGCAAGGGTGTTAAAGGAAAGAGCCTGAAGGGAGCTGTTCTAATGAAATTATAATGACGCAGTCTGCCATGTGGGAGTCAGCTTCAATCGACACGGAGAGAAGAGAGAAAGAGCAAGAAACAGAGAGTGAGGTTGTTCTCTGCATTGACCTCTATGTGTCTGTCAGGCTTGCAATTAAGGGTGAAGAGGATAAACACCACAACTGGATGTTTATCATTGTGGACGGCTGACTCAGCCGTGCTGAATCACTACTGCAACCCCCACCCACTTAGGAATGTCCTCTCACAGTCACAGCGTATCTTGCAAGTATGCAAGTATAAAAAGCACCAGAAATACGAGTGTTATCACGACAAAGAATGTTTCACAATAAAGAGGTGAGAAACAGAGATAACTGTATCACCTCTTGCAGAAGGTTCAGATTTTCAGAGTATTTTAGGGCTGCAACTAACAAGTATGTTCATTATGACATTATCAGACAATTTCTTATTCATTGTTTAGTCAATAATATGTCACATCATGACAGTTACTCAGAGCCCTGGCTGACATCTTCAGCTTAAAATTCATACATTTTTTCCTATGATCTAAGACATTCCACAAATTTTAGTAAAACATGAGCAACTCTTTCCCAAAAACTAGAGTGCTATAACTCTACTTCATAGACAATGAATTGGGAAAGATGTTAGAATGACACAAGCCCTTTTTACACAGAGATTGTGCTATAGTGCCACTACGAAGTCCCTTATTTATGTCTCCTTTGCACTTTTACACAGAACCAAACAACAGCAGCATCATGCTGCTCCAGTGTGTGATTATAGACTGCATGACAGTATCGCTGAGGCAAAAGATGCATGATGGGCGTGACATGCAACACAACAGCATCAGTCTCTAGTGTGACATACAGTATAACATTGGCAATGGTTTATAAACCATAACCATAACCTCCTGGACCTCATTGTTTTCCCAATTTGCGGACCTTTTCTGTCAATGTTTTTCTTTCTTGAGTTAGCTGCTAACTGCTATCAGCTTTTTTTTTCTGAATTGCCTGCGGTGGGTTGCATGCATAACCTGTTGTTGAAACGTCAAACCCATGCCACCTATGATCCTGTCCTGCCTGCTGTCCCTTTTATACAGGAGTCATTTCATTGCTGTTACTACCTCCGATGCCACCTTAAGGCAAGACAATTCTGTCTCCCATTCTATATTCTATTAAAAAATAGCAAGGCGGCATAACAGTGTGTAATTTCTGCCTTGAAGAGGCAGCGTAAAAGGAGCTACTGAGAGCACCCCTGAGGAAATGTTTTAGCTGTGTGTATGAATGAAATGCTCTTTAGTACACTAAAACTGTATGTGAGATTTTTAAGCATGTCCAAAACTAGGGCTGCAACTAACAATTATTTTCATTGTCGACTAATCTGTCAATTATTTCTTCGATTAGTCGACTAATCATTTTATCGAAAAATGTGTTAAAATGTTGAAAAATGTCAGTCTGTCTCTTCCAAACCCCAAAATGATGTCATCTAATGTCTTGTTTCGTACTCACACCAAAGGGTTTTAGTTCACTGTCATGGGAGAGTGTGTAAAGCTGCCAATATCTGACCGTAAGAAGCTGCAATAAGAGTATTTTGGGGTACTTTTATAGTACTTTTCTGTGAAAAATGACTCAAACCGATTAGTCGACTACTAAAATAGTCACCGCAGCCCTATCCGAAACCTTAGTATGAAACCAATAGTACATGACTGCATACTATTTCTGGTGAAATATTACAGTACGTAAGCACTACCCCAGCATAAATATGCTATAATGCAATGCGGTAGAGGGCAACGTTCACAACGGTCCACATTTTATGCTTGATGATATCACAAGTTTGAGACTTACTTCTGTGGTTTCTGGGTTTGTGTGAGAGAGAGAGAGTATCTCATGTTCACATACTGATTGGACTTTCTTAGGCCATGGAAACATGTTGAAATTCTTAATTTAGACGGTGTTCCCTTTTAAAGGAACAGTGTGTAAGATTTAGGGGAATTTAGCAGTGAGGACTGTAGATTCCAAACAGCTAAAACTTCTCCGCGTTAGGATTCCTTCAGTGTGCATTGACATGGATTTTTTTTTTTTAAACAGAAGCCGAATTACCTGCAGGAGTCTCTTCCTCTCCAAAAGGGACCAAATGATTAAAACACTGAATAAAGCATGTTGGTGAAGATTCTCAGTCATCCAGGTCAGGATAATCTTAAGTGCTCACCTCCCATCCCGTCTTCAGAACTGAAGAAGCTTCTTGGATGGGAGGTGAAATGTCTTAAAGACTTAAGACCATTTAAGCAGTTTCACATTAAAAATTTGGTGTTTTTCTGCCGCTTTCATCTTGTAAGGGGCTCCCATATGGTGGCCGACACAAAAATACGAATGGCCCATCCACAGCCACTGTTTGTTTTTGGCTACTGTAGAAACATGGCAATTTCCGTAGACCAGGACCTCCTCCATGTGTAGAAATAAATGGCTCATTTTAAGGAAACAAAAACACAACAGTTCTTATCATCGGGTAATTGTATTATATTCCTGTTCTAATATATCTCCCTAAATCCTCCATACTGGACCTTTAAAATGTCATGAATTTGGAGCATTTTTACTTAAAAAAACATTGACTAGTACTTTGTTTATAAGATAAGATTTTCATAGATGAATTCCCACCCTAGATAAATAACATTGCTGGGGTTAAAAGTTCATTCCCACAGCATCCACTTGTGCAAATGCACCCAAGTTATTATAATGTAATGGATGTCAGTGTATAAAAATCCAGGATTTAATCACTGTCCAACTGTTATTTCTAGCCGCTTTAGGAATTAAGGGCCATTTCTCTAATGAACAAATGAGGGATATCAAAAACTAGATAAATCTCCATGGAGGAACAGAGTGTTTTCAGCACTGTGCACAGAGATGTGACAGGAGCTCCGGGCTGCCCTCTTGCCGCGACCTGGTTTTCATGTGAGAGCCATGACAAGCCAACGTAAAGGAGGTAAACAGAGATTATACAGACATCTAGTTAATCTGAGGGAACTACTACTGAGTTATCTGCCCAGGCGAGGCCTGATGTGAGACAAAGAGCTCATTCAGGCACCTGTTTTCCCGTCGAAACACCAGGCAGAGGGGCCACAATACACGCTTCAAATGCGTTTTGCCATGGCCAAACAGATCGATGTGACCGGGTCGGGAGGGAAACACTCGTGTTTGACAGCATGCAGCCATTCAACAAGTGCCACGAGACTGCAAGGGGAAATCAATAAAACTCATCAACTGCATCGCTATGGGCAACCCCGATAAATACATGTGTGTGTGGCGTTTGGGCGGGATTCATTATCCACAGAAACGCATCAGTGTGGCCGCACGTTCACAAACAAGGCCAACGCCAAGTCAAGTGTGTGCGTGCTCGTTACATTCACATTCCCCTGGGGTGTCGTTAGTCACGCTGACGGCAAATAAAGCCAACATGCGTACCTTGTTTATTTCGTCCAATTTTGTCTTCTGCTGCTCCTTTAACAGTCCAAAGGCTTTCCCTCCTGAGAAGAGAAAAGCACGTTAATTTAATAGCAAGCAGGTTAATACCGACACGAGCTTATGTTGGACGGTGGCCGGGGTCGGCCTGCTGATGCTCTATTGTAAAGACTCAAAGCTTTAGCTAGCGGCACACATATGACCGAGAAAATAGACAAAGCATTCCTCTGTGATTAAATTTATTACCTTGTACATTTGTAGGCATCCTGGAATTTATCTGTCGGGAATAAATCCACAAAATGACAAATATCCGAGCCGAGAGGCTGCCGCAACCGTCCGCCGGGGCGATACTCCTGTACTCTGTTACAGATTGGGCTCAGTGGGCCACTTGGTACCGGCGTCAAGACTGACGCAGTAAGAGTGGAGACTTCCGGTCAAGCTTTTCAAAATAAACGATTGACCCCTTTTTGCATAACAGCTTTGATGTTGTAGCCTTTCTGTACATATTGAAGGAATGAAGTTGCTGTCGGTGCACTTACACGCAGTTTAAAAAAAACAATCTACAGAAAGACATAAAGAGACACAATAGCTTAAAACAGAGACAACAAATATGAACATATAATAAGGGCCCCAAATGGAGGAGGGCCCCTGAAAAGCATCAAGTGTTTTTTTCCTCTAAATATTCAGTGCCATAACTAAATTAAAATTGTCTGAATAAATTGGTTGACAGACTGAACTTTGTGAAACCATATTCATCTCTAAATGCAGTCAAGTGAGTGCCTCTTAATGTCTTTCCCCCAAATAAGGGAAAAAAGAAAGAAAACAAAAAGAGAAAGAGAAAGAAACTGACTTTGTAAAAAACAAAAATCAAAGCATGCAGGAGAGAGATATTGATTGAGAGAGAAAGGGTGGGAGGCCCACAGGGACAACTACGCATAGCACACAGAAGCTGGTGCTATGCCCCTGTCTGTAGTGTTTCTGTAAATTGTGGGGAAAAGGAAGAAAGGAAGGGATAAATATTAAATGGATTAATATAAAAAAGTGTGAAAAAAGGAAAAAAATGTACTGCACACCAAGTCTCAGCTCCCATTGAAGGCTTTTTTATTTGCACTGTGAGGTTTCAAGCACAAGGCTCTTTCTCAAACTGCTGTAGCGATGTCGAAGTGTAGCACACATTGTGTGTTCATGAATAGTACCTTGAGTACATAATTTAAGCAGAGGCTGTGGTTTCTAATAGGGCTGCGACATTATTTTCCCCATTATTGGTTCATCTCTCAACTGAATGGAGTAACTGTTTAGTAAATAAAATGTCAGAAATAGTAATAATAAAAATGGCCATTGCAGTTAAGGTGAGGTCTTCAGGTAGTTTGTTTTGTTCGACCAACAGTCCCAAACCCAAATATAGGCCTATTCAATTAGCAAAGGACAATTTAAGAATCAAAATATGGCAAAGTTGGAACCGTACAATATTTCAAATTTTCCATGTTTAAACACAAAGACAGAAATAAGAATGACTTTGGCCAGAGCTTATTTACAAAATCAGGTGACATGTTACTGATGTATTTTACTTTAAGAATATTTTAATTTTAAGTTTTGTTTTGTTCAAATTTATGTTGCATGTTTCATGTCTTTTTATACTTTGATTAATAAATAGACACATGTTTGAAATAAGTGCTATCATTGTACATGTCACAGTTCAAAGCTCATGAAAATACAAGTGAAGTGAACATACTACCTACTGTTTGTTATTCCTGAATGTATCATATGTCCTCACATGATACTGCAATAGTTGTGAGCACCACAGTGCCAGAACTATTTTGTATCTTTCAACAGTACCTGTCCATTGCCACATTAGAGATGGCTGCCACATTGGACTAAAACAAACAATACATTTCACCTGTGCTTTTAAAAATTCAAAACAAAAAGTGAAGCTTTTATTTTGAATACTGAGACATCTAAAATCCGGTATCATTGTGTAGCGACACTATCCTCCTCATCAGTGAATGATGCCCTGGGGTAAAGTGGGACGCTTCTTGCTCTCGTGCACCATCATGTGGCCTCAGAGGAGACTGCACACCATGAGGCAGTGAGTCACACTATCAGTGGAGCTGGATCAACACTTCACTGAGGTAAAAGCATTTCAGTGTGCAGAAATACATTTCCAAACAATAAAAGACAGCCATAGAGCTCATACTCATCTTCCAACAAAATGTGACAATCCACTATTAAAAGTCTCCTTGAGCCTCTTTTCCCGAGCAGTAAATGCCCAATAAACACTATGATATGATGCCATATGCAACAAAACTGAAATTCATGATCATGTTGCATGCAGATAATTCATATTGTCTTTGTCCAAAGTATTCCATTGTCTGCGTATGATTGGGTGTGAAATAATTACGCCTCAGCTGAGGCTTTATGCCTGTTAATGTGATGTCATTTCAGCCTCATAAAGACCCTCTTGGCTCATACAACAAAACAATTCGGGGATTCATTTGTTTACTGGATGGAGGGAATTTCCAAAGCGCTATGGGATGATATCATGACTGCAGAGCCATTAAGATCCACCTGCTTGTTACAAAGCATAGCCTTGTTAACAGAGCTCTACAATAAAGTGCATACAAGCCTTGTTATACATTTAAAAGACACCCAAAAATAATTTAACATCTAGCCTTATTAGTAATAATTAGATTTCATTTTTTGTTTTCATGAATAGCAGTTATACACGGTGTCCCACATTACTATATTTAAACCTAATTTATCCCAGTGAAAATAAAATGTAGGCAACACACCATATGAAAAAAAGAAGATGCATTATGAGGTGTTTTTTCTCACCGTAATGTGAAAAAAATATGCAATCTTTCTTGTTTTAAAAGAGCAGTTTATTGACATTGTGAATTATACAGCGATTGTTTTTGAAACATTCTTCCTAAGTCATAATTAATAATGATCTATTATCGTTTAGAGTTAGTTTGTCGCCCCCTTGCGGTCATTTGTTGTAAATACCTGCAGTTATGTTGCATCCAGATAAAGGCAATCAGGCAATGCAGCATCACTTTTTCTTCTTCTTCAGCTAGTGTGTATACATGTGTAAACTGCATTATGTTTACTTTATACATTTGTAATACATATTTGAGACATTTTCCACACTCTATTTCAGTTTGTTTTATCAGTAAAATTCAATTAAAACTCACTCTAGCCTCAGGTCTCTATCGGAATATGACTCATTCTGGAGCATTAGACAAGCACTGAAAATTAATAATAATACACCTGATAACGGTTTAATTTATGTCCAGTAAATTCCTAAATTTATTAGATTTGAAATTACATGACAAGTTTGCACATAGGCCACTATGTAAGTAAATGTCACCATAAGCAGAAAAATCTCACATGTAACTGTATAATCATCATAATGTTTGTTGTTAGACAGCAACCTCTAATAGCTGTCGTTATTATGACGGGAGCAAAGAAGCAAGTCAGGTGACATAGTATTGGAGGTGAAATTTGTTTTCCTAGGATGGCTGATGTTCTTACCCTGACTCTAACCAGTCTCACTCCTCATGCATAAACCTCACCAACCCAACCAATGAAGGCAACAAGCAGAGGGAGAATAGGACAGGTCATGCCTCCCCCATCCTAGAAAAAAAAGGCATTCTTTTGATCCTCTTAGGTGCTGCCATCTTGTGTTGGTGACGTCATTTGGAGCCACAGTCTGCGCAGAAGTGATCGGGGACAGAGCCATGATATCAAGGTCCCTCTCATACACCCACCTGACTCAACTGTGACTCAATCACAGCTGTCATTCTTGACATCACACACCCTTTTGTAATAGCATCAAACAAGGAATTCAAACCAAACTTCTCTTAAGTATTAACACTTGAACACACATCAGCGTGTTAATCATTTTTGGGAAAAATTTCTTTAACCTGTGCTTTGACTTTTTTAGTTTGGCCCCTGCCCCATTCGCTAAAAGGGGAAGAAGGGGACCCAGGTTTATGATCTACACTGCAGGCAGCCACCAGGAAGCCAGATGTTTCTCTTCACTTTTGGGAAGACAATGTTACTGATACTATTCTTTCTCACACCTTGAACTCAAACCATTGTGTTGCCCCGCCCAAAATATATCATTTAAAAATTAAATTAATGTCGTAAACATGCAGACGACTAGTTGACTAATGGCCCTACATGACGACAATTAGTGTGAAAAAATAGGTCAGCTGTGTCAATGCTATTCTGTTCAATTTATTGTTGTCATTATCTATATACAGCAGCAGCATACAGTGAATGAAATGTCATTACCCATGAATCCAGGTGCAGTAAAAGCAATGTACTTTACTGTGAATACATATGTGTTTAAAATATATAGAGGCTCACTATAAACACTGTAAAAGAAACACACAAAACAACACACACTATACTCATTAAATAGAACACAATGTCAGCACCATCACAGGACACAAGAAGATGCATTATGCATAACAGCGTATTATATAGTTATCACATAAGAGGCTGTGTGTCTGTCTGTCTAAAGGATACTTCTCTCAGTGCCATTGAACAGCCACTGCACACTTGATGGGTCTGGTAGGAGCCCTTTTGCTTCAGGTTGATTGGATTTTTTTCCTAATGGGGTTCTCATCTCCAGTGTCTTTGGGGGTGTCATGTTCATTAATTGTTTAATAATGCAGACATTGTGTAAGCCTTTTAAAGTGTTACTGTGGGCGATTCTGCCCTATTAGCCCTTTAAAGATAAGCTCGACTTGTCACTGCTAATTCACAGTTTCAGGGCATACTTGTTATTTTTTAAAGGCGAAACATTTTGGAGTGGTGCAGCCTTACCTGATTCATTAGATGGCAGTCATTTGCATGTGATAATTTAGGAGTAATATTAGAACCACACTTACCAACACCACAATTAAAATTTAACAGCTTTAAACCCAGAGAAAAGGTTTTTCTATAAATGGCTTTGTTCCTGTGAATACTCGCACAGAATAATAAGCTAGCTGAGGGCAAGGCCTTTATCAGGACTCAGCACATTTCTGAATTTATTTCTTCAGAAATACGACTTCACAGAAACAAAACAGACCTGGCTTTAGAAAAATATTGTGCAATCGGAAGTCATGTCTCTGTGTGATTATGGAGACATTTTTATTCACATGCTATATTTTATAGTCTGCCAGAAAACAGGTACAGAGGTGTATCTCTTTTCAGTGTGGCTGCACAACAAAACAAAAACGTGTTTTGAGTGCTTTATGGGAGTATACTTGAAAGCCAGTTTATTCAGTTTTCCACAGTGCATTTAGTTTTATTACAGGAGGCATTTTTTACACTTTCCATTTTGGTTTACATGAAAAGGTCTACTAGTCTTTATAATAGCTAAAAAGATTAGACTGCATCATATTAATCTACGAGACT